GGAAACCCTATACAGGGTTGCTATGGGTCAGAACAAACTCGATGGCAATTAACAACAACAACAACAACATATAGATAAAAGGGAGGGAATTAGTTCTTATATTTAGGAGAAAATAGTATTTTATGAGGGAAGACTTTATATAAATATAGTTTGCTAGTCCTTGAGTCTTCTAGCATCTGTTGTCTTCACTTGGTGTGGTATAAGAGGGAACATTATTTTTATTTTAAATATCTACATTGAAATGAATTTTTTACACATCTTAGGTTTTTTCAGTATCTTTTATCAAGAGGAACTGAATAAGCAGTTTTCCATATTCTTTGAGATTAAATAAATATACTTTTGTTTTGTAAAATATTTTCTCTCTGTTTCTCTGTTTTAAGGTATTGCACAATGGCCTTATTATGGAGATGGAGCACCCGACTGTGGGGAAGATATCAGTCCCAGGTCTGAACATTTTGGTTATTTTCTTTAATATCTTTCTTTGTTCATTGTAAAATATGATGATTACTGCAGGTCTGGATGATCCCCAAACTTGTCAAGACGTGACCATCATTTTGAATAAAAGAGGATCCCTTGGTCCACACTCACAGGAATGAATGAACTCTGAGAGTATAGAATTGTGGCTTAATTATAATGAATGTCTGATTGCTTCCATGACAAAAAAAAAAAAAAAAAGCTCCTATTTCCTAATTCCTCTTAGTGTAATCATATAGTCACAAAAATCCATTATGTAATTATTAACAGAGAGGTAACAACAGATATGGTAACTGTTATGATAGTAATGTGCAGTTAGTATGAGACTAACAAAACAAAGTCAGAAAGAAGTAGTGTCTGTTTACGCCAGGGTTGGAAAAAGTGCAACCACAGTGCTCCTTGGAGGCCAAACTTCATCTCTCATACTTTGGACATATTGTCAGGAGGGACCAGTCGCTGGGGAAGGATATCATGTTTGGTAAGGTGGAGGGTCAGAGAATAAAAAGGAAGACCCCCAGTGAGATGGACTGGCAATACGGCAGCATCAATGGGCTCAAGTGTGGCTACAGTTGTAAGGTTGACCCAGGACCAGGCAGTGTTTCGTTCTGTTGTGCATAGGGTTGCTATGAGTCAATACTGACTCGATGGCACCTAACAACAACAATTTTCCCAAAGAACTACGGTGGAAGGTATGGATATTGGCTTTGCAGATTAGAACACTGAATGTTTTCAGTAAGCTCAGTATGGGTTGAATTTTTGAAAGTTTGACTTGTATCAAACTTACCAAAGACTGCTGTTTTTACAAAATGCCAATTTCTTAATTTCCAGAGGAGAATTCTTCTTTCCAGTGGCCTGAGACTCATGCCAACCTTTAGAGCATCCTCTTGGACAGTGTATCCAGAGCTTATGCCCAGTTCCTTGACCCACTACACACTTATTTCTCTGGTGATCCTAATAGTACCATCCCTCAGATCTGTTGTGTCTTTCCTCTGGATCTTGTTAGATAAACACTCCACATTCTTGTTCTTTATGTCTCCATTTTATAAACCATAAGTAGCCCTGGTGACACAATGATTAAGAACTCTCTGCTTACTGAAAGTTTGGTGGTTTGAACCTCAGGAGAAAGACCTGGTGATCTGCTTCTGTATAGATCACAACCAAGAAACCACCTGTGTGACAGTTCTACGCTGTCACATGGGTCACAATGAGTTGGATTGACTTGATAGCATCCAACAGTACACCAATGTACTACTTTTCCTTTTTTCTTTGACAAGGACAATGAAATTTGTTAGGATATGACTTTGACCATGTTGTCCTGAAACTACTTCCTGATTGCCTTGCTTGGAATTTGGGCATATCCTAAATTCCTTAGTGTCCTCAGTTGAATAGCATAGACCATTTACTTCTAAATATCTGATCTCATGTATTGAATAACTGCAATTGTTTATGTCATTCTAAGATTTGGGGGTCACTTAATAATAAATTCCTATAGCAGACTGGAATTGTAACTGTTGGCATGCAAAAATAATAAAAGGGATATAATCAATGAAGCATAATGAAAGATAAAATTCTAACAGGGAGGGATTTTAGGAACATTATCAATCAATTAAGGAAGGTGACTATGAGAATGGGTTTACACATGTTGTTGTTGTTGTACTGTGCAGTGGAGTTGGTTCCGCTCATAGCAACCCTGTACAGGGTTTCTGAGGCTGTAAAACTTTACGGAAGCAGAAAGCCTCATCTTTCTCCCACAGGACAGCTGATAGTTTCAAACTGGTGCCCATGAGATTAGCAGCTCGATTCGTAATCACTACACTACCAGAGCTCCTTACAGGGAAATGCCATACAACACAGAAAAGTGGTGGGGAAAAAATGTGTGTTGATGAAAACTAAAAAGGTCATTCATTCATTCATATCAGTGAATATACACTATGTGCCAGGCATGACTTTGTATCTGGAAAATACCAACATAAACCAGACAACATGTCCTCTGACCTCATACAGCTTACAGTCAGTGGAAAGCCAGGTAACAAAAACAGGTAACACATATTTCTATAACTGCTCTGGTTGTTTAGTGCCATCAAGTTGGTTCTGACCCATGGCAACACCATATAGGGTTTCCGAGGAGTGGTTGGTGGATTTGAACCTCCAACCTTGAAATTCAAACTGACACTGAAGCCCAGTGCACTATCCTGCTGCGCCGTATCAGGACTCCTCATGTTAAATGCAAATAAGGGGAAATAATGATATGTTGGTTGTCATATGGAATAATGTGGGTGAGTTGGGAAATCCTCTCTGAGAGGCTGACTTATAAGCTGGGAATTGAATTATAAGAAGAATTTGTCATTTGAAGAATAGGAGACGAGCATTCTAAGCCAAGGTACCACCATGTGAACATGTCCTAGGTGGGAAAAAGTTAGATGTGTTTTACACCAGTACGAAAGGGGGGAAGAAGGACAATAATACATATGACTGATTGAGGAGAGTGTGGAGACCTGACTAAGCTTGCTTTTACTGTAGATGACTTTAAGCAGGGCAGTAAAATGATACTATTTACTGTTTAAAGTACAGAGTCAGGTTAGGAAGTTATCATAGGAATTCAGGTGGTGGTGTGTTGAATTAGTGTCACAGCAATCAGGGTAAAGAGAAGAAGAGTAGAGAGCATTTTGTTTAAAAAATGTGATCATATTGCCTCCAGTTTGAGAAGACTTTGAAAAGCATTTTGTCAGCTAGTTTTCAGCTTTACTTTTTAAACTGTGTAACTGATTTTCCAAATGAAATCTCAAGATCTAAAACAGATCCAAGCAGTTTTGCTGATGGATAGCCAGGCACTCCATCCTCTGAGCTTTCTTCCTTTGCCATATTGTGGTCCTCCAGACACCTCCCTGAAACCATGGTCCCCAAAGAACAATTCAAGAACTGCTGATCTAATTCAACTCCACATGTTTATACATGAGATCATATGTTGTTATTAAGTGCCCTTGACTCATTTCTGACTCATAGTGACCCTGTATAGAGTTTCCAAGGAGCTACTGGGGGGATTTGAACCACTGAAATGGTGAGCAATCCAATGCGTATCATCTAGCACCACCAGAACACATGAGAGGAAAGAATAAGAATTTTAGTCAGTACATGCTAGAAAGAAAAAAAAAAAAAAAAAAGGAAGTCAATGACTAACCTGGAATTAACTCATTGGATCTGACACTCTCCCAATCAATCAAATGTGAATTTTCAGCACTGGACATCTAACCCCAAAGTTGGCAGTTCAAACCAACCAAACATCCCTTGGAAACCCTATACTGGGTTGCTGTGAGTTGAAACAACTCAATGACACTTAACGATGACAACATGATAAATGAATAGAGAAATAATTTTAGGAAGAGAAGAACACTTTTCAAATTCTAGAAGAGGAGAAAACATTCACTTTAACGTATAAGTGTATATGCTAGTTGTTGTAACAATAATGCTCTGTAATGACATTTGATTCAAATATAGGCAATCATGTATTCCACACATGTGGATCGCCTGCGGGAACAACTGGTTTACACTGGGTTCAGCTTTGGTTCTAATTGCAGGTCTGGGCTTGGCTGCTCATTGTAACTTGGGCTCAATTGTTCTTCATGTATCTCTCAAGTTCTTCTCATATCAAGGGCAAAAGGTCAAACAGACACCACAATTCCACTTTGGTACAGAACTTGCACTCCTTCTGCCCACATTTGTTGGCCAAAGTAGTTTTAGTCCAAGTCCAAAGGGGTGGGGAGATACACATTACTCTTATTGTGAGAAACTAGAAAGTTTCAATGTAAAAGGCAGAGACATAGGAGGGGTAAATAAATGAAGCTGATAATTCCCTCTACTACATTAAAGTTTGTGACTCAACAGCAATCTGCTATTATCTCCTTTTGCTTTTTCAATTTCTGTAGTGTTTAGGCATAATTTTGGTATGTCTATTCCCTTGACTTTCCTTATATTATTCTTGTAGAATTATTATCAATATGGAGGTCTCAGATTTGAGATGGAATTGACATGTGTAGATTATTTGTGAAATCTGTATTTGAGTGTCTCTTGAAGGCAATGTATGTGCATTCTGTAAAAATGAACTGTGTTGAATGACAATGCTATTACAGATACCAGGTAAGAACTTGTTGTTACATCTCTTATTTCCATGTAAAACAATAAGAAGCTATGCAGATAGGTCAAGAGATATTAAATGTAAGAGGTATTCATCAGGAATTGCATTAGAATATTTAAACTTTTATTTCTAAAGATAAATTAACAAAAACTCATTTTCCTATGGATTACCCCTTTCATTGATTTTATTTGCCTATGACATTTCTGCTTTTCTTTGTAAGGAAGACCTAATCAATGACATAGAAAGAACTCAAATGCTCCTAGAATGTCTCCTAGGTGACTCTTTAAACAGGAGAGACAAAGGGAAGTTAAAAGTGACTTCATACTACACTGTTTTTTGAGTAACTAATGGAGCGCTTTTTAAATTTTTATTTATTTAATTTATAAACTGGGGTTCTATGCACTATTACTTAAAGCTTTTTGGTCATCTTACTCACAATGGGCATGTTGCACCAGAGCTATGTCTCTGAGCTGGTGCCCAAATGCCACCTGCTAGACAGCTGGACCCCTGGTGCGGTGCTGTACGATAAGCACTTGACTGCAAACCACAAACTCCGTGGGTCAAACCTGTCAGCTGCTCCTCGGAATCCCTATACAGGGTAGCTATGAGTCAGAACTGATTTGATAACACTTAACAACAACAAGAGTTCTGGTGTAGCGCTGTGGGTTAATCCGCTGGACTGCAAAGTCGTCGGTTCAAGCTCACCAGTCGCTCCTTGGAAACCCTATACAGGGTCTCTATGAGTCGGAACCAACTCAAAGACACTTAACAACAACAGCAACAGGCAGCTTCAAGCAGCAGATGGCGGCCTTGAACATTGCACAGATCCCTGCCTAGC